GGGCCGGGGTGTACCTCAGCTGGGCAGGGAGCCAAGCCTATCCCTCTCACCTATATAGGCTCTTATTGCCCAAAGGGACTGACACAGTCTCTGTAGCTCACCCTGTCACAGATGAGCAATGCCACCACTGTGCTTTGGGTGGGAGAGTGACTCTTGCTAGCTTTGGGACGTGCCTGGACATCCCCAGGCACCCAGCTGCCTGCAATTCCCTGGGCACATGGCCTTGGAAGGAGCATTCTGCTCATCCGGGCTCCAGCACTGCCAGCTCCCAGGGTGCTGCCAGCCATCCTGGTGGTACCTAGAGATGCCAGGGCAAAGCTGGGTCCTGATCTGCCCAGGGCACATTGCCCTTGCCCCACCTTGGTCACTGGGGTCCCTGGCACAGCCAGGGACCCTTGCTTGCTGCCAGCACGGTAAGGGGAAGGCAAAGCCCTGCCATGGGGTGCCTTCTCTGTGCCTGGGGACACATAGGACCGAGAGCTGGGGAGATGTTTGGTAAGCAGGCAGCACAGGAGAGCACTGCCTGTGTCTCTGCCTGCGTTGCTGCCTGCGGCAGGTCCTGCTCCTAACGCAGAAATGCTGCCGGGTGTCTGGCAGCCCTGCCCTGGCTCCAGGATGTGCTTTTCTCCTTCAGGATCTGTCCCCCTGCCACACTCCATGTTTGAAATCATCCCCTGCTCGGTGCAGAGGCTGCAGCGCTGCTGCTGGACCAAAGGCAGGTCACGGATGCATCACCCCCAGCACTGGATGAGGAGCATCACCCCACACATGGGTGCTGCCCACCCAGACCATGGAGGAATCTTGTTCCTGCACCAGCCCCAGCCCCTGCCCGCTGGGGGTCTCACTGTGCCTCCCGCCCCACCAAAGCCCAGATCACCTGGAGATGGATGAGTGGGGTTCAGTGCGATGGGGTGTCTCCATTGGCCAACATCTTCCCAGATGTTCTTGTTCATGGCGGGTATCCAAGGCTGTGGGAGACTCCAATGCTGCTGCCCAGGTAGAGCAATGTCCAAGTGTTCTCCACTCGTGGTGCAGCTCCTTGGCCTCATGGGATCGGTTCCTTCTGCTTATGAAGCAGAGACGAGTGGTTAATGACCCCTCCTGGGGCTTGGATTTCCGAGGCTGTGCTCTCCGGGTGCTTGTAACCCAATCTCCCAGATCCGATAGCGTGCCTGTCCCTGAAAGGTGAGCCCCTTCCCACTGCCACAGCCACCAGCAGCCGCCGGGACCTGACTGGGAGCTGCTGGTGTCTTGGGCTCCCAATGCTCCCCATGGAACTGCCACAGCCCCCTGGGACATTGCAGCTCTTCTGCTACCTCCCCTGAGGCCCTGAGGGAGCATCTCAGGACAGGTAGGAATGGGGGAATAGGGTGGAGGAGTGTACCCATGGACACCAAAAGGCTTGAGGTCACTCATAGAGAGGGAGCAGGGTCTTGGTAGCTTCTGGGAGAGGTTTTCAAATGATGGTGGCTACCAGATTCCACCTGAGATGAGGCTGGACCCCTCAACTCCTCTGGCATGCTCATCCTATGATGCTGGCAGTGATGCCATGGTGGCCTGGCATGGCCCAGGGCTGGTAAGGAGCAGGGCTGTGGCACTGCCTTGGTCCTCTGAGCACTGCTTTCTGGTCCATGCAGTCAAACCCACTCCTGCCCACCTCACATTCACCTGAGCAGGCTGCTGAGGTCTGTCCAGCCCTTATTCCTTTTGGGATGGCAGAGCTGGCAGAGCTCTCAGCCCCGGATGCACATGGCACAGGGTTAACATATCCCCCATGGATGCAGGGAGAACCCACTGTAGTGGCAAGGTCACAGAATTCCAGAATTGTTGGGGTTGAAGGGACCTCTGGAGATCATCCAGTGCAACCCCTGCCAAAGCCAGACCAGAGCAGGTCACAGAGGAGTATGTGCATGATGGGTTTGGGATGTTTCCAGAGAGAGAGACTCCATAACCCCCCTGGGCAACCTGTTCCAGGGCTCTGCCACTGTCAGCATAAGGAACTTCTTCCTCATGTTGAGGTGAAACTTGTGCGTTAGTTTATGGCCACTGCTCCTCATCCTGTCACTGGGCACCACTGAAAAGAGTCTGACACTATCCTCTTGGTACCTGCCTTTTAGATGTGTATATGCATTAATGAAATCCCTCTCTCAGTCTTGTCTTCTCTAGACTCAAAACGCCCAGGTTCCACAATCTCTCCTCATCAGAGATGCTCTAGACCCCTGATCATCTTTATGGCCCTCTGCTGGACTCTGTCCAGTAGGTCCTTGTCCCCTCTCAGGCTGCTCTTCTGTAGACTAACCAGGCCCAGCTCCTGCAATCTCTCTTCATAAGAGAGATGCTCCAGACCCCTGAGCATCCTTGTGACCTTTCCCAGTAGCTTGTTATCTTTCTTGTACTGAGGAGCCCAGAACTGGGCCTTGGTGCTGCTCTTTGAGGCAGGGCTGGCCATGGGGCATGCAGGCAGCAGGCAGGGATGCAGGACCCTGATGTCCCTGGGACCCCACCACCAGAGGGGGCTGGTTCCCATCTCTCCCTTATCAGATGCACATGCCATGGGACTCCTTGGCTGTGAGGCTGACAGCTCCTCTCACCCTCTTGTCCCCAGCATGTCCGAGGCCAGCGGCAGCCCGGGGCCGTGCATGGGGGTCCACTTGCGCACCCCGAGCCGGGGCAGCCAACGCATCGAGTGCATTATCTGCTACTCCTCCTATGACCTGGGCATGCGGCTGCCGCGCCGGCTCTACTGCGGCCATACCTTCTGTCAGGCCTGCCTGAAGCGCCTGGATGCCGTGGCCAACGAGCAGCGCTGGATCCCCTGCCCGCAGTGCCGCCAAAACACACCCACACCGCGTGGCGGCGTCACCATGCTCGACCTCGACCTGGCCACCTTCCTTGCTGTCAAGGCTGACAAGGAGCATCCCCAGGTGCCCGGCCAGTCCCATCGCAACTTGACCACCAAGGGCTTGTGCAAGGAGAAGGTGGTGACACAGCAGCCAGTGGGGCTGTGCCAAGATGTGGTGCCTCCAGCGCCGTTCCCCCGGCGTGGCTGCGGTCCGCGCTGCGGCTGCTCCCGGCCATGCTCGTGCTGCGGGGTGACGGCAGCCTTTGAGAGCTGAGCACAAGGAGGGGGCTGCTGGGTTGCAGTTTGGGACCATTGCTGGGGACCCCACTGCCCATGTGTGGACAGGAGTAGCATGGCTGTGCTGACAGTCTGGGAAGGGCTTCAGCTTGCTCAGGGCTTGCTGCCCATCCTGCTGGTGTCCATCCTTCTGGGATTTAGGGTGCAACAGGGTGGATGAGGATGCCCTCACTTCCTCATCCTGCCCACTCAGAAGCCTGACCCACCTTTCACGGATGGTCCCTGGTCCCTGGCCTAGGGCTTGCTCATCCCTGGCTTCTCCATGCACGTGTCTCTTCAACAGGGACACCTCCACCAAGCACCCCTGGGGACATGGGAGGTGACACAGTGATACTCTGGGTCCATATCCAACACCATGAAAGCTTCACACCCATTAAACCATGCTCCATTGGCCCTGCTGGCCAATGTCTTGATCATACTTGTTCGTAAACCTGGGGCAAGGCTGGGGCAAGCCCTGCGATGTTGGGGTGGGATGGGGAGCAGTGATCTGCCCAGCAGGTTGCTTTCCTGTAAGTTGCTCTGTTGGCCACTTGCATGAGGAATTTGGGCATTGGGGTAGCTGGACAGTTGAAATCGAGTATGACAGGATTGTCAGGAGACTACAACACATTGCTCCAGCTCTTTGGATTTATCTGTCCACCACCTGCTTCGCTCCAGTATGGGAGGAAAGCAGAGCCCACAGGAGCTCCTGATTGCTCTTGTGCTCTGTGGCTCATGCCAGGTTTGGTTTTCCTCTCCCACCTCCCTGCCTCACATCCACGCAAACCCCCTGCTCCAGCCCCTTTGCTGTTTCTCCAGGCCATGCCTTTGCTGCCAGCAAGGCTTTCCCTGCCTGACCCCAAAGAGTAGGTGCAAGGATGAGACCCCAAACATCTGGGTGTGGGTTTAACAGAGGCCAGATGTGGAGGACTGGGGTTCACCAGGGTGATACCAACATGGTTCTTAGGTAGGGCCTGGCACTACCTGGGCAGCTCTCTGGTCCTTCTGCAGGGCCCATTTCCCGCATCCACTTTTCATGTGGTTTACAAACTCTTCCAATATCCCAGCACCAGGCACCACGGGTGCCCCCTGGGGCTCAGCAGGGGACCCAAGCCTGAACTCCCTGGTGCCAGCAGTGATCCCATGTCCCCTGGGCAGTCCTGGTGCTTGGTGGTTCTCTGCACTGGGTGCCAGGGCTGCGGCCAGAGGAGTCCAGCACTCATACCCTGTGCAGCATCCCGTGCACAGCACCCACCCCATGTGCAGCACCCACCGCATGCACAGCACCCATCCCCTGCACAGCACCCACCCCATGTACAACACCCATGCACAGTTCTACCACTTGGTGTCACCTGCCATAAGGAGTCTGAGCTGAGCTGTTCCCAGCAGAGCCCAGCCTGGGCAGCTCCAGCCATGGAAGCAGGAGCACCAGGGATGTTCCAGGCCAGAGGTGTCTGGGGGAACAGCAGAAGTGTGGTGTGGTTCAAGCCTGCCTCAGGTCTTTAGTCACATGGAAACATGCGATAAACTAAAGCCTTTAAGGGCACGAGAAAAGCTAACACAGAGTCTTAGCATCTTCCTCTCAATTTTCATTTCTCCCCCAGATACTCAATGGTGGATGTTGGGAACTGTCTGGGAAGGACCCATCCCAGGCACAGCTCTGTACAAAGGTGCCAGAAGGACCCTGTGCTCAGCCCCACCTTGGGTCCCAGCTTTCCAACAGTGGAGAGTGACCAAGACCCATAGTTCCCTGTCCCTGGACCCAGGTCGTTGCTTCTGTGTTCCCACTCCTGCTCCACTGCATCTCCCAGCACCAGAACTATAAAGCTTGGCCCTTGCTGTGTGCCTCTGTACATGTCTCTGCTGCTCCCTGCCAGTGTCTGAAGGAGTTTATCTGCCCCTCCATCACTTCGTTGTGGGAACAGTCTTGGCATCCTGATTTACATCCCTTTACCAGAGCAGTCAGCACAGGCCACCCAGACTGCCCTTGCAGAGCGAGTGCTCAGAGCAGCCTCTCCTGGAGCTGCCCTGGGGCCAGGCTGCCCTGTTCTGTGTGGAATCCTGAACCCCAGTGGGGAACAGGGCACTGGCGGGCGCAGCCCTGGCTGGGGACAGGGACCTGGGCTTTCCCTGTGAATGCTGGGTCCAGAGGAAGGGGCACTGACGAGCACTGGTGGCATGTGTGAAGGGACAATGTTGTCAGTGCTGGGGGGCAGGACCTCAAAGTGTCACCAGCCTGCAGTTGCTGCAGCCACTGTCTGCAAAACAGGAGACAGGAGTGGGGCTAGGCACAGCCAGAACCAGTCTTGCACTTGGCTGGTGTCCCTGCCTGCATGTAGGACACTGGGGACATCTCTCCTGCCATGTGCCATGGAGCATGCAGTGGGGTGACAGTGAGGTGCTGAGGTGGGTTTGCAGCTCTTGGGGTCTCTGACCACAAATACTCTATTTCCCCTCCCCCAAATGAATTTTGCCATTCCCACCTGATTCCAGGTGGCCACAGGCAATGCATCCCCTGGGGAAGAAGAGTGTTTTGGGACAGGGCTCCCTAAAAATTACGGTTTCCATATAGCCCACAGCTGCGGGTAGGATGAGCTGTTGCTGCAGGTCCATGTGGCTGCAGTTCTGTGCCCTGCTCTGGGGCTGGGCTGGGCTGGGCTGTAGGATTCCTCTGAATTACTTCCAGATGGGGATTAATGCGGTAAAACCAAGTTTGCTGCAGGATAGATAAACAACCCAAAGCTCCTCTGGATGCTATTAATAAATCTCCTGCCTGCTGCTTCTGGCCCAGATTTGGGAACACCCCGTGCACTGCCTTGCTGCCCTCCCAGCCCTTTGGCCACCAGGCGGAGGTGCCAGAGATTCCTCCAGGAATGTGACCCAGTATGAGGGTCCTAAACAGGACAGGAGTTGCCATGGTATGTGGAGGATGGTGTCCCCTCTCTGGGCTGCCAGTGGGATGTGGTGCTGCTGGCCATGTCCTCTGGTCCAGGGTGTCCACCAAGCTCTGCCAGGGACACCGAGAGGTGACACCTCTCTTCTCCTCTCCAACCTTCTCCTGTGGGGCTTCAGCAGCTTGAAACCGGAGTGGGTATAAACAGGGTGGGAGCAGACTTTGAGCCCTCTCGAGCTAGTGCTGCCATGCCAGCGCCAGGGTAAACAAGTTTTGGGTGGCTGCAGCCCAGCGGGTTCAGCTTTCCCACAGCTTCTAATGTAGGGGCTCCTGGGTGTCCCTAGTGTGCACCCAGATGTGTGGTCCTGCTGGGGAGGAGGAGGGTGGCCCGTGGGACTCCCAACCCAAACCTCCTCATTCTGGCATGATTTGTGATCTCCTGCCAAGGGCAAACAGAGTTCAGCCAAGGGCTGGGCTCAGTGGGGTGACCCATGGCTCCCAGCAGTGCTCCCCATTAAGGACCTCTGGGCATGGTGAGTCAGCACAGAAGATGGGGTTACATCTGATGATGTAACTTAAGCTTTATCTTGCTTTAGCTAGTTATGGGGGTCCTGGGTCGATACAACCCTCTGTACATGGCTGATGAAGTTCTTCTCTGTGAGGGTGCTGAGGCGCTGGCACA